AAACATGAGGATTTGTCCACCTCTTGAGCCAATGACATTCAATCTTGTTCCAGGATTCCAGAGATCCTACTACCCTCCTAATATTTCCCTAATATTCTGTTTTGTCCCATAAGGAGAATATACCCACCCTCAGGCTAAGTTCCACATTTTCTCCTCCATAAACCAGCATCCCACCATCCAGAGAGCCGATCTTTCCCAAGAAGAGCCTGTTGGCAGCCAGGATACCCATGATGGAAGGACTCCTGTAAAGCACAGAGTAAGAGAGTTACTAACCCCTCAGTGATGAATGGGTAAGGATGGAGGTTAGGGGTAGGACCCATTGATGGTTTGGCCTTTGAAACTCCACGCAAGCCTCTACTTATCCTGCAGGCTTTCCTTAAACCCTCAGGCTGGACTCAGTGCACGTAGCTTTCCCTTACTCCCCGTGCTGTCATCACCTTTTTCATAGTTTATTGAAAGTACACCTTTTAATCGTGGTATCCCTACTTTATAGCCTGATAAATTCTTTAAACAGCCCAAATGTTTTTCTAAAACGTTATGTACTTTGCTTTATTTTGCTTGAAAGCTCTCAAAGCCCAAAGTATCTGTGATTTCTTATCTGGGATCAGCTTTTTTCTCTCTATTCCCTGTCCTTCACACCTCCCACCCCACTTCCATTACTACCACCAAAGATAAACAAAATCCACACCATCCATTCCTGACTTACCATGTGCCAACCCAGTTTCCTGAGCCCAGTCAGACTTACTTCACCGGAGCAGTGACATCATTCAGATCAAGCCAGGCCTTTGGCAGTGCATCATAGCGGCACCATAATTGCCAGTTAAACCCATCAACTGCCACTCCATACTTCTCCAGTTCNAGCCGGCCTCAGTTCAAGGCTTAGCCTCTCCCAAGCAGCTTCAAACCCAGAGTGGGTGGCGACCATCTTCAGATTGCTTTGTGGCTTATTCCAGGTGGCCCCGGGGCAGAACACAGGCTTAGGGCTGAGCTTGGCCTGTAGCAGGGCCCCTCCCAGGAGATCCCAGGGCTGGCACACACTGTGGCCAGCTTGCAACCAAGCCAGGGCACCACCTGACTACTTCTGCAGATGACACACCCAAAAGGCAGACTGAGCAGGCACCAGAGCCCCACTAAAGTGAACCCTGCTCCATAGTGTTAGCCTCTGAAAAACAGCTTCTCCACTGTAGTCATGGCCATTCCTCATAACCAATCAGCTTGAGGGTCAATCCCTTCCACTGATGTGCCAAAGCAACCAAGGCTCAACTACAAACAGGAGGGCACACACACAACAAACACAAAGGACGTACCTGCAGCAACCAGCTCAGGAAACCAGAGAGACTGTGCCACTGGGCTCCACAGAATACATACTACATAAGGCCACTCTACTAAGACTAGGAAACATAGCAGCCCTACCTAATACATAGCAACAAACACAAGGAGGCAGCCAAAATGGGGAGACAAGAAAACATGTCCCAAATGAAAGAGAAACAAAGTTCCAGAAAAAGAACTAAACAAAATGGAGACAAGCAATCTACCAGATGCAGAGTTCCAAACACTGGTTATAAAGATGCTCAATGAACTTAGGGGAAGAGTACATGAACTCAGTGAGAATTTTAACAAAGACATATGAAACATAAAAATGGAGATAGAAAACATAAAAAAAGAACCACTCAGAAATGAAGAATACAATAACTGAAATAAA